ATTAAGGCCCCTACATTACGTCTCGAGCCACGGAGCGGAGCCAAGATCACTCCTGTTTGGCTGCCAGGGGTGCAGATTCGAGCTGAAATCATTCCTAGCACGCTGTAAGCTTGTTGTGGCGGTTTAGGCAAACCTAAAAACCTTAAACTTTTTAAAACCCTACATCCCTGAACCCTAAACCCTACACCCCTAAACCCTAAACCCTACACCCCTAAACCCTACGCCCTACAGGGGTTGGGGAGGAAGTCTTTTCGAACCCTGCGGAGGTCCATCCGAGTCGCTCCGCGGCTTCATGATAAGGAGGAGCTGGCGGCTTTGTGTTTGCTTTCGGATTGAGTGGGGTTCTGAAGGCCATGAGGGCTATCAGGGTTATCAGGGTGACTGGGGCCTCGGGTGATTAGGGTGCTCAGGGTTTAAGGTTATGAGGGTTATGAGGCTCATTACGGCTGTTAGGAGGAGTAGGGTCATGAGGGTTATGAGGCTCATTAGGGTTATTAGGTAGGGTCATAAGGGATTAGGGTTTAGGCACAGCACGCGAAGTCTTTAAGCCGACAAACTGTTGTGCGGCACGGTGGTACCTTGCACCAGCAATAATGGGTCTGGGTTGTTGATGGTGCAGGTTTTGAAAACCCCCTAAATCCTAAACCCTAAACTTCACTTCACTTCCACGCGATACGGTACAAGTCCGGAGCGACTACAGCATGCAAGCCCCAAAAGCGAACGAAGCTATATCGTTGCGCGGGCGAAGAAGACCAAGGAGCGCGAATAGCGGAGCACGACGCTCACGCACTGTTCATAAACCCTAAACCCTCAATCCTAAACCCTATGTGATGACAATCCTTGTTTCCTCATGAAGCTTCGACCCCCAAAACCCTCTGCTTTAGCCTCAGTCAGTGGGTCCATTTAGGGTTCAGGGCTGAGGGTTTAAATCCAGGCGTCGGAATAGTTCGTAGTGAATGCTTTTTAGGTATACTGTTGCTGTATTTCATCTCAAAGTCTCGAAACTCTAATCTATCTGTTGAGGCCCCTGTATAAAACCCCCATAGAGCCCTTTAAGTTAAAACCCGATTCTAATTGTGGCAGCCAGGCTATTATTGCCAAATATTGCCATACAAATCAAAGCAGGAAGCTCCATGTCAGCTTCCGAGAGGGGCGCTGTTTTTTAGAATGGGGCTTGCAGGGTCTTGTAGAGTTTCGTGTCGTTGTATACGGTTTGCATTGATGTTCTATATTAACTGCTCTCCGACGTGCACGCGCCTTTGGGGCGTTTGAGCGAGAGACAGAGAGAGATAGAGATATGTTTTTTGTTTAGACAGTTATGCAAGTTCTATCCCTACTTATGTCGTCCTGTGATCGTTTACGTAGTTGTCGGCTCAGCGCCTCAGGAATAGGGTTTTTGGGACAATTTGAAGAATTGTGGGCGGATAGGCCGGTTTTAAGCAGACAATGTGGGAACGAAGATCAGGAGAACACTATACAGGAAACCATCGTGACATCAGGCCGGACCCAAGCAAGCACATATTATGCTATACTCAGAAAATCTTGCGAAGACGGCGCTGATGATGCTGACCATGATGATGATGACGATAATGAGGTTGATGGATGACTTGTGCCGCGACGGTTATTTGCCTTTACTTGTTTCTAGCAAGTTACTCAGGACAAAACAGGAACATCAAAACCATGTACGCGGTGACAGGAGATGCACGACCATCACCGTCAGAGTGGCATGAAGAGTCGGCATGGGGGGCCTCAGGCTTTCTGCGCTTCGTAAACTAGGGCAGGCAGCCACTACGCGCATCATAAGCGACCGATCTGCGGAGAAAGTGCTTTGACGTTTACTTGCTTCTCACTGCCATGTGGGGGGACAGCACAACTAGCGTGTTTCTGGTGACGGGACTCCATGTTCAACCGACCCATAAAGGACGTCAGAGGCTTTGGCAAGGCTGAGTATCGACAGACGAGACGTAGGGCGTGAGGTTCGGGTTGCTGCCTGGAGTCATCCCGGATCCGTTCCTGTCCCTCCTAGTCCTTGGCACATTGCATCTTGAGGCTGGTTTCTTGGAACTTATGTGTGGCAGGGTAGTTTTCTCGGCATCTCGAAGTCTCGAAGTGTTGCTGGGCAGTCGGCGGAATGTTTGGAGGCCCCGCGGCCGATTGCTGGAAACATTGAACATGCACATACGTGTAGTTGATATGGGTATGCATGGATGATGTGTATGTAGGTATGTATGCATGGAGGTAGGTAGGTCATGCCTGGACTTATGCTTGTATGTAGGTATGCATATGGAGATATGCGAGCCTACGGCCTTAACAGCGATAGGCGATAGGCCAGTAATCTTTTGAACATGCCTTTGGTAGACATAGGCAACACAATCATATGTGCCGACTATGTTGGATTTTCTTGTTCTACAAGTCTACCAAGGTAGTGTGTATGTACCCCTGCATGGACGGCACGACCACTGCCGTATATAGTGCATGTGAGGGAATATGCCGTTAAATACGTAGACCTATATTGAAACCAAGAGGGAATCGGTCGCATGTAAAGTTCAGCCCAAGATGGCGCATTATTTGGACGGTATGTCTAACTTTACATAGGCACACGTGCACGTGTGGGTATCAGTGAGTGGGTGTGGGTGTGTCTTTATGTGTTTGTGTGTGTTTGCCAGTGTGTATGTTATGTGTCTTTGTGGTCTGTGTGTCTCTGCGTGCATGGAAGTATATGTGTGTGTATATATATATATATATACGGGTGTGTGTCCGTATGTGTTTGTTGTTCGCGCGTGTGTGTGTGTGTGTGGGTGGGTGGGTGCGTGTACGTGTTCAGCCTGTCCTGCCGAGAAAGTTTCAAAGGTGCCTGGATAGGGTTTTGGCGATCCCGACGAGCTAAGGTGGGTCCGTTTGGTAGAAGAAGGTCCTAAACTCTAAGCTCAAATGCAGTTATTCCTCATGGTTCCTCCCGGGATGGGACGTGTCGAGCAACCCTGCAGAAGCATGTGCATCCATACACTTAATTTCATTCACGTGGTGGAGGTACATATGTATATGCTCCAAGACATATGTTCTGTGGTCTAAACGAAGTCATTTGCATGCACACATACCGTGTCTGGAGACAATTCTGCATTGAATGTGATCTATTGCTTGGAGGGTTTGGGCATCGACAGAAAGCTTTAGCGAACATGGTGTGCGCTCTATTGGTGTGGTGTATCAAAAGGCAGTGATATTTCGTCGCATGGCCGCATGGTACCACACAGCTGCAAACTACGGTTAGAGCATGTTAGGACTTTCCGTAAAACTAGCCAAGCACAGCGGTCATTTTCGACCCCAAGCGCTGTTTACTTCATTTGTCATGTTGGAGGTCGTCCGTTATATTTGTTGTACACCTGTACGGCTACTGAGGGCACTTTTAAGCGATTAAACGGTATATGTCACCTACACAAGTTAGTTTGCTTGAAACTTAGTCCACAGACTACCCTGCTCACACAGCTTCCACCTTGCCGAAGGCAGCAGTGGCAAGCATTAGCATGCAAAGTGCGGATGAAGACACATGTCCACCAAGCGGGGGTGACGAGGGAAGACCTTGTCGTAGATGCCACCCACACACCCTTCTGTTCCAGATCCTCACCCACGAAGATGCAGTGTGGGTCAGACTCATGCTTCGTTCCAACCCCCATGGACGAGCATGTAAGATGCTCCTACTTCAGGGCACTGAGCTTCTGATGTGCCCTGCCCTTCAATCGCACTGCAACTTGAATCAGACTGGCAAAGGCCAGTACAGGAGCAGTTTTTCCTGAGTCTGTATCGAGTTTTCAGCAGGTTTAAGAGGAGATGTAGTTCAGAGCTTGACGGACATGTCGCACATCGGCAAATACCACGATGTAGCATTGCACGGCGGTGCCGTTTCGCCGGTGTGCCTTGGCCTTAGGCTTGGGTATCGGCGTGGCCATCGCCATGATCTCTTCGCTCGAGGACGCGCAAAAGTTCCAGTGGTTTGGCCCGTCCTTCTTGCCGTGCTAAGCTGCAGTTCGTAGTCGTAGCGGTTGTGGCCTTAATAATTACAGTAGGCTTTGGGGGTATACCATCCTTTAGTTATAATTAGGAACCCGGAAAGAGTGTAGGTATTCATACAGTATACCCTCAACCATAAACCTGATATTACCCCAAACCCGCAAGCCTGTGCGAGTCTGCGGCCTCCAGCAGAGCTTATAAGCAATAAAAGCCCCATAAACCCTATAAACCCTGTAAGCCCTAAACCCTATAAACTAGATAAGCCCTGTAAGCCCGAAACCCTGAACCCTTTAAGCCCTACAAGCCCTAAACCATGAACCCCATCAGCTGTAAAGCCCTAAACCCCGACAAGCCCCAAAAGCCCTAAACCCCAATATAATTATAGGGGCCTTAATGGTTAGCATTGGATTTTGGGGCCCATTTTACTATAAGGAGCTCCTAAAAGAGTATTGGTAATTATGAAAAGTAGGGTTTATCGGGCTCAGGGCTTACAGGGTCCACAGAGGGTTCACAGGCTTCAGGGGTTTAGGGAAGCAGAGCCTTTCCTTCAGTTCTGTCTGCCTCGTGAGCTGTGTTAGCCGAACTCAGCAGTTTGCATAAATGTTCAATGATTCCTTGCGTAGCGGGCTGCGCACGCAGAACGATGCTCCTTACTCCTCGGGCATGAGAAAGCACCTGCTGTAACGCCCCTTATAGAGTGAGAAGCGTGAATCAACAGTAACATGCATTCCTTGTGGGTCCCGCTGCTTTGCCCCAAAACTCTTCTAATCATTAAGGCTCCTACGGTAGTACGAGAGGGTACCAGATCGGTACTACACTCGCCTCCTCAGGCTTCTGCATGTCGCTGAACTGTATGCAACACATGCCTTCGTATTTTCTGCAGGCGTTTGCCAGGCGATTGCCAAACTAGTTTAGATTCTTCTCTGGCCTTCTCTCCAGGGTTTCGGGCCACTGCTGGAAACCAGGTGCCGCACAGCCAGCTGTTGAAAATAGCCATGGCGTCGGGGGCCCGACCTTTTTTGCGAGGCAAGAGCTTCAGCAAGAGCAAAGATCAGAGCTGCTCGGACTTACGACCTCTGCTACTAGCTCTGCCACTATTCCCCAAGTCCCAAATGCCAGCCATAATATGTGTAGTTCTCTAAGTTAGGGGTCCTGTTGGGCTCCTTTTGAGAAGGGCGCCGTGCTATTTTCGGGAGACCTAAAAGGGATCCTAATTTAGAGAACTACCCATATAAAACCCTTAGAGAAGCCCTATAGAAGCCTTTATAGATCCCTTTATAGATCCCTTTATAAGACTCCCCAAAATCGATCAGAGTGTAGAGAACTACCCATGCGGCGGATCATCCCAAAGGGCCCTTCGAGCTGCAGCGGTTCTGTTCTGGAGTCGTTGTGGCCCCTTTCCAGGTCGAAGTGCAAAGTCGTCGCACGGTTTAGGGTTTAGGGTTTCCTCGCACCGTATCTTGCACCGTAGAGGGCTTCGAACAAGTAGTCGTAGTAGTCACTTAGTCGTCGTCGTGTTCCCTTATAGCGCCTCTACAACTGTGGTGAAAGGATTCCCTCGAAACACCGGAGCTATTCTCATTGTCAAGGCTCCTGTACTACAGGAAACTGGAGGTTCATGGGTAGGGGTATAAGTCCCTTCATAAGGGTTATAGCTATAGTTATCCAGCTTTATTTTACCGTACTTCTAACTTGGATACTGCCCCCACTGAGTAAGAGATGAATAATATAATATCTACATAGGGCCATTAATCATCACCATATCATCGACGGTCACTGTATGGGGGCAGTACTCAACTTAGAAACTAACCATGGGCCTCCCAGGAGTTGACATTGATATCCCCCTTCCGAGAGATGATCGGCCATCCTGGGGAAGTTGCTTGGTTCCGGTTTCGGGTTTAGGGTCTCTTTGGGATCGTGGCGATGATTCTGCGCATGCGCTCCCAAACGCTACACCCTGATTATCGGTTTAGGCTTGCTATGCGTGTGTGTGTGTGTGATATGTGTTGAGAATTCGAGCCTTCTCTGTGTAGCGGTTAGCAGCAGCAGGGCCACTGTTGGCATATACCTTGGAAGACATGCCACCGTGAAGGCTTTCGCAATTGGATCGATATGTCAGTACAGCAGCCATGCAAGTTTGTGCCAGCGCCGATGAGTTCATCGTTGTTCATGATATGAGCTACGAGCGCTGTGTGCGCAAGCGTTTCCCTGCTGCAATTTAGGACGACCGTCGAACCCGTCGAGCTTGAAAACTTCGGTGGGAACAACGACTGCTGCTGATCTCGTGAGTCAGTCACGAGGCGACACATCAGAGACACCAGCCCTGCATGAGCCATTTGCTGAAGAAGTTCGCCATGACCTCTCGAAGCCTCCAGACATGGAGGTGTTCCGCGTCACCACCAACGACATTTTGTCCCCGACAGCAGGGAGAGTTCAGGATGGCAACGACCGCTCATTCGTGGAAACCTCCCCACATGCCGACGACAACGCAACCGCTGCGCGTTTTGCACCGACATCGAAACATGTTGGTCTTCATGGCAAGGACGGCGCAGAGGTCAGTCGCATGCCCTCAGGTTACAAAGCAGAGTTTTTCCTAACTAAAAAAGTTGGCAGGCTCAGAGATGTTGGTTGGCACTTAGAATCCAGTGGCGTCTGCAAAACGCAAGAAGGCCATTGCACACCATATTATTCAACCTGCCCCCTGTCTGTTTCATGTCACCGAAACAACAACCGGACACACATGTGCATGTATACAACAGCACCCCAGCCATGAACGTGGTCCATCTGCTCGCTAGGGCCTTACAAAGTGGCCTGGGTTTTACCCAGTGAGCTGTACTTATGTATTTCATTTCAGCTTCTGTCAGCAACTGGACAATTGGAATGGCTACGGTAATGTCCCGAAACGCTAAGATAGAATGGCTCGTTCAGCTGACCTGTGTGTAGAGCGATCGGGTCGGAGGCGCAAACATCAGTGTGTTGCTGTCAATGTGTGTTTTTCTGTCTTTACATATGTTTATATATATATATACACACACATCTTTGTAAGCTGTTTCCATGCACCTATTCGGGCCTACGGCCCCGCCACCTCTACACACATAACTACACGCATACGTGCAGACAGACAGACAGACAGACAGACAGACAGACAGACAGACAGACAGACAGACACACAGACAGACACACAAACAGACAGACAGACCGACACCGACATACGTACATAGACATACATGCATACAAGGGTATATATTTACATACACCTACATACACGCTCACTTACGCACATATGCCAACCTACCTGCCTGTCTGCCTGCCTCCTACCTATCTGCCACAAACATTCACCTACACCTACGTACAAGTACAGACACTTATTTAGATGCATGTATGCTTGCAGTCACTCAAGTGTCAGGACAAAGACCCGATGCCACATCAACCTTGTCAGCAAGGCGTGGAGGGAAAGAAGATAAGAGAACAGACCTGCAAGCGCTCCAAGGGCTCCGTAGGACTATTCATGAGTGCACATTATGACGGTAAGGGTTTAGGGTTTAGGGTTACGCATATCGTAGGCGGTAGATCTTAATCGCTGCACTTGAGCTCGGCCGAAAGCCCATAATCAGCATCTCGATTGAAATCAAATGTAATCCTTGATTCAGTGGTACTGTGGGATCCTTGGTCAAGGGGGGCCCGTGCCCTCCAACTCGATTTCTGCAGAGCGAGAATGCCTGCATCAGTCGCAGGGTCGCGACCACAACGCTCTTCCCTGCACCGAATCTTCTGCCGAAGAGTTGCGCTGCCTTGCTGGCAAGTCTACTGTATCTCCTTCGACGAGCAACCAATTACCAATGTGAAAGACCACTTCATCTCGCGAAGATATCGCTCTGCAGAGTGGAATCGCCGCGGTAGCTTCGCCCATGCACGTAAGCCACAAGCTGGAGACTGATGATGGACGCGCCCAGCCTCACTCGTGAAGGAGCGCAGAATCATGGTGATACCAATGGTAATAACCATCATCATCGAATTAGTAGTAATACCTACTGTAGATATTGTTACTAATACGATGATGATGCTGATTATTATCATTGTCATAACTATATCTTTACAAGTATACAACAAAGAGGCTAACAACCAGAATGATAATAATGACGATAATAGTATGTTGACAACAAAAACAATAATATGAATACTAATAAGGAAAACTAGCATAACGATAACCAGAAAGTATACAATAATAATAACAGTATGACGAGTATGAACAATAAGAATAAGAAAAGTAGCAATAAGAGTAAACATGAATACGAATACAAACAAGAACAAGTTTTATAATGGTGATAGTAAGAATCCCAATTACAATACTAGTATTACCGGAACAACAATACTAATCAGAATACTACTAGTAGTAAGAATAAGACTAACAAGGAGAAGAGTAAGTTGCGGAGGAAGGGATTGCCTCCATATCATCGGTGAGCCTGCGAGCAGGCTTCGCAGTCCAACTGTAGTCGAACTCCGTAGAAGGCAGCAGGAGTAGCGGGAGACAGAACCAAACCCATTGCTCAGCGAAAGCAAGGTCTACCATTCAGCAGCGAAGTGAGAAAGCCTTCTGCCCAAGTGTCAGAAAATTCTCTGTTCCTTCGCATAGTTCGCCCGAGAACTTCAGTGATTTCCCAGGAACTTGTTGTTTCCTGCCCGTGCGACATGCATGGAGCTGCTGAGCTTGCTGCCAGCAGGCTTTGAAGCAGCATCCTAAACCCGAAACCTAGCTTCAGATGAAGGCACGCAAAATTCCGCTTGCACCAGGTGATGCAAGTCCACGCCCTGGCGACTTGGCCTCAATGCCACCGTAACTCGTTTTTTGGTTACTGTACGGGCTTTATAGTTACCTACATTACTTTGGGTTCCGCATTATGACTGTTGTATAACATATCCCAAAACCCTATTCTAATTACTTCTTAAGGCCCCTACATTACTTTTGCTAGTGCGACAGCCAGCCTGACGAGCCTCAGGCAGCAGCATGGGTGGGGCACAGTGCCGAAGGCCCGTGCGTGCTACATTGGCAGAGCTGTTTCCTTTGAGTGTAATAATTGCTCTAGTGATGTCAAGCAAAGCAGAGAAGAACCAGTGAGAGTATCGGCTCATAGTCCCAAATCCCATACATGTATATATATATATATATATGCACACACACTCTGCGCCACACCGCTTTTGTTATTATTGATACTGTTCTTGTTACTGCTATTGTCGTCGTTACTGACATGGTTACTCATGTTGCTGTGTTTATTATTGTCAGTGTTCTTATTACTGTTCCTGTGTTAGATTCTGTCAGATAATATGAGCATTCTTACTTGGCTCTGGGTGTCCGGTAGCGACTCGGTCTCCCGCGAGGGCCAGTCTGCCGCTTCCCGCACGGCCGGGAAGCAGCGCATCTCCCCGGAGGAAGTCTTTCAGCGTCAACGACCCTCGGCTGATCCGGGGCGAAGCCGATTTTGGAGCGAGGTTTGAGGCTTTTGTGTGTTAGGGGTTTAGGGTTTAGGGTTTATGGGTTAGGGTTATACGGTTTCGTTGTTTGTGCTCTGCTTCGAATGCCTTTGTCCTATCGCAAGCAGCTGAATCTTCTTGTGGGGTGACAGGTGCCCATGGCAGGTAGGAGCTTGTAGCTAATTAGCATTCATTGCCGTGTTCTGCCTCCCCCCCCCCCCCCCCCCCCNNCCTGCTCCTGCTGCCCCTCTGCCCAGCAGAAAAACACAGTGGTGGAGAAGAGGGTCAGACCCTGGGCATGGGAGCGGGCAGACAGCCGGGGTCGGGGCTGGCCACGCAAGGGCGCTTATCCAACGGGACTTGGGACGCATGCAAGGTGCGACGTCTGTACTGAGTGTAACCAGAATGGGTGGCACGATCACAAGCTCTCTGAAACGCACGTTTGGCTGCACGAGTATGGCACATTGAGAGGCGGACGAGTCGTGTCTGGGAAAATCCACCTCAATTTCGGTTACACTAGAACCCTAAACTCTAAACCGCTAGTCCCCTAATCCCTAAACCCCGAGGATGCAGACTCGGCCGCTACGGGCCCGAGAATCAGCGGATCTCCGAAGAAAAAGTTTTCCGCCGTGCACGAGACGAAGCTGCATCGGGTGGTTTAGGGTTTAGGGGTTTAGGTTCAGGGTTCAGGGGTTTGGGGTTGAGCTGATGGGTTGAGGGTTTAGGAGTTTAGGGTTGACAGGTTTAGCTGATGCCGGTTTTAGACATCCGCCGTGGGCTGGGCTTTGCTTACAGAGGCGACATCATCAACAAACATTTTTGCAGAGGGAGCACTTAGACCCTGTGGCGGTTGTGGATAGAGCGCTCCCGACCCGTTGTGTCGACATTGAGATGTGCAGTTTAGGCAACATTCCATAGCTTTGCAGTTCTGTTCCGCCAGTGCGTACTTCTTCGAAGTCTGGCAGACCAGGGTCTACAGTTTACCAAAGTTTTGCGCCAAGGACGTCGAGTTGGATACGATGAACATGGCATCCACGGGAGTGCGATGTCTGCAACGGCAGGTCGACAGTTTGAGCGGTACTTGTGCTAGTCGGAGTCGAAGTAAGCAGTGGCAGCAGCAGCAGTTTCAGTTGCAGATGCAGTAGTAGTAGTAGTAGTAGTAGTAGTAGTAGTAGTAGTAGGAGGAGGAGTAGTAGTAGTAGTAGTAGTAGGCGCCCCCCCCTACCAACTAC